GGCCACACTACACTGAGGGTCTGACTGTGCACTTCCCTCCTGCTGATCCCAGGAAAAAATTACATCTTGACCCCAAATTGGCAGTCAGATTTATCCTTGGATCAAGAAGCTATTAAGGTACATTTAAAAAAAATAAAAAAAAAATATATATATATATATATATATCTTTGTATATTATGTTTTTGCAAGTATTCAACTAGTTGCTGTTTAAATATTTGTGCAGACTCTGATAAAACCACTTCTTCAGAGGTTTAAATTTGTTAACCTTTCTTCATAGCTAAAATGTTCCATTCCTTTTATTAGATTTGTAGCCCGCCTCTGCAATTTTTCAAGTACCATAATATCCTTCTTTAAAACAGGTGCCCAACCAGGTGGCTGGTTGTCGGATGGATGACTGGCTGGTTGGATGGATGGATGGATAGAAAGCCATCTGGCTGTCAGGTGGGATGACTAGATAGATGCATGGCTGGCTGGTTGAATGGATGGATAGATGGATAGTTGGTCAGATGGATGGATACATGGATGAATGGTTGGCTTGCTGGTTGGCAAATAGATGGCTGGCTGGCAGGTGGGATGCTGGATAGATGGATGGCTGCCTGATTGAATAGATGGCTAACTGGTTGGATGACTGGCTGGTTGGATGTCTGGCTGGCTAGATGGATGGATAGCTGACTGTTAGGTAGGCTGGCTGGATAGATGGATGGCTGGCTGGCTGGTTGAATGGATGGCAGGTTGGTTGGTCGGATGAATAGATAGATGGACGAATGGCTGGTTGTAAGATGGATGGCTGGCTGGCTGGTTGTATGAATGGAAAGTTAACTGGCTGTCAGGTAGGCTGGCTGAATAGATGGATGGCTTACTGGTTGGATGAATACATTTTAAAAAGTTGAAAAAATAATAATAAAATAAAAAATAATAAGTGTCAATCTCCCATAAAGGCACAAAAAGAGGCACAAACAAATATATCATAGATCTAAAAATACATATGTAAAAAATAATAATAACCATGTGATTGCAAAAATTCATCAAAACACGATCAACATAAGTGAAATAAGCTAGCATAAAATTCATATCAATAATTATCAAAATATAGGAAGGGGACTTTAAAATGTACATGTGAGAAATATATATATATATATATATATATATGAGATGCCAATATAATATGGAATTAAACACTGTGCAAATAAATAGCAAATAGTGTCATTATACACATACAGTGGGTGCGTAACCTACGCAAAATATAACAAAGTGCAAGTGCAAAGAGTCAAAGTATAGCCTGATAAATACAAATAAGCAAAGTGCATATGTCTATTAAAAGTGACCGAGTGTTAAACAATGCATCCAATAGATAAAAGTATAGATAAAAAAACAGTCTCACTGATGTGCAGTAGTATAGTAATAGTCCTCACATTGTGCTTTTGGGCACTCCAGTGATGTTGCAGCTCTGAAATATGGGCAAACTGGTGGCAAGTGGCATCGTGGCAGCTGCACGCTTGACTTTTCTCAGTTCATGGGCAGTTATTTTGCGCCTTGGTTTTTCCACACGCTTCTTGCGACCCTGTTGACTATTTTGAATGAAACGCTTGATTGTTCGATGATCACGCTTCAGAAGCTTTGCAATTTTAAGAGTGCTGCATCCCTCTGCAAGATATCTCACTATTTTTGACTTTTCTGAGCCTGTCAAGTCCTTCTTTTGACCCATTTTGCCAAAGGAAAGGAAGTTGCCTAATAATTATGCACACCTGATATAGGGTGTTGATGTCATTAGACCACACCCCTTCTCATTACAGAGATGCACATCACCTAATATGCTTAATTGGTAGTAGGCTTTTGAGCCTATACAGCTTGGAGTAAGACAACATGCATAAAGAGGATGATGTGGTCAAAATACTCATTTGCCTAATAATTCTGCACTCCCTGTATATATATCATTCAGACAATTTACTACATGAATATTATGTAAGGTTAATGTCTAATAGTCTATTATGCATCACATTGTCTAACTCTTTTAAACAAATATTACCACAGCTCTGCAGTTGTTCCATTGTGGAATTAGACCCTTAAAGATGCGACGCATGGTCCTTAAGAGACTGAGAATGTGTTGAATGTTTTAAAGTTATAACAATTTTATGTTTAGAATTTTTTTTTAAATAAATTGCTTTTTATTGTGATCAATGCAGCAAAATAAAAAAAAAATAAGTCTCACTGACTGAAAATCAGCAACATGGAAAGTCACAAACATCAGAAATTATCCCATAGCACAGCTGGAATAGTTGAATGTATTACATAGTATACAATATTTACAGTACAGCGATGTGGTGGCTAATTTATGAGAGTATATTATGTAACAAATGTCAATAATGGTGAAACAATTACTTTCTTAACTGATGTCTGAAATGGATAGAGTCATACAAGGGCCTCAATTTATTAAAGGGACACTAACCACCAAAACAACTTTAGCTTAATGAATCAGTTTTGATGTATAGGTTATGGTCCTGCAGTCTCACTGCTCAATTCCCTGCCATATAGGAGGTAAATCAATTTATTTATGCAACATTCAAATAAAAAAGGAGAAACAACAATGCAGATATGTACCCCAGTCTGTTAAATCCACAATACACTGAAGTGTCCCTGGGTCTTTGATGTAATCAGTTCTGACTCTTAAGTAGTCCTTTATTAAAGAATACACACTCAAATTTAAAAGGACAAATATATTCTAATTAATCATTTTTTGTTTAAATTGCAAAAGGAAATTCACGAGCACATGACATTTGCAGTTTGAGAGAAGATGTGATGATATTAGGAGAGTTTTAGAAGGAAGGTAGCAAAAATTTGTGGTGGGTGGAAAGGTATGATGGAATTTGAGCATGGTATGTGGGCCAGAAGTGGATGAGAAGAATGTTTTGGTGGTAACCCCTACTGTATAACAGCATTAAAGGGACACTATAGTCACCCAGACCACTTCAGCTCAATGAGTGGTCCCCCAGGTTTAACCCTTCAGATGTAAACATAGCGGTTTCAAAGAAACTGCTATGTTCACATTAGGGATTAATCCAACCTCTAGTGGCGGTCTTCCTGACAGCCGCTAGAGGCCCGTCTCCGATGCTGGATGCAAAATTCGCATCCAGCGTGCAGAACGTCCACAGGAAAGCATTGAGAAATGCTTTCCTATGCAATGTTTGAATGCACGTGCGGCACTTGTCACGCATGTGCATTCTGCTCCACTCCATTCTGCTGGATTAAGGTAAGTAGCTGAAGGAGTTTTAACCCTTTCAGCGCCAAGGGAGGGGGACCCTAAGGGTGGGGGCACCCTTAGGGCACTATAGTGTCAGGAAAACAGGTTTGTTTTCCTGACACTATAGTGATCCTTAAATATTCCAATATGTAGCAATATGTTTAATGTTTCTTAATAATGAAAATTATTTTCATTCAGAAAAATAAAGAAAATGAAGGGATCACATACAGTTTAGTTTTCTGTTATTTTTTATTTGTTGTCAGATTTTTTTTTTCTTTTATCAAATCAAACATGTCTACCAGTTTTAATGACACCAAGAATACATAATGCAATCTTAAAAGTCTATGGAGTAACAATGGTCCCCCGTATCTTTTAGTCACTATCACTTAGCTTTGCTTCACTTACTATACTATCTCTTTTCTATTGGGCTTGTATATTTTTTGTTACTCGGTACTAAATAAAAAAAATAATGATTTTACTTATTGAGTATTACAGAATTTCATCCCTGCTTGTTGCCAACTTCTCTTTTTTTTAACATTTGATTAAAATATTGAGATGTTCACTTCAATATTGTATGATTAATTCTAATTGTTGCTGTGATAGAGAGTTTGAAAAATGTTCTCACTGACCTTTTGTAGCTGTATAAATGTTACTATACCTAGCATGTGTCTCCAATTGCACCTGTATCATTCTAACATAATTTCTAACCACACAATATTATGTCCCCACATTATAATTTGTAGATATAAAGTGTAAATGGAGGAAGTACTTTAAAATAATTACATAAATTCTACATGTATTGTGACATGTCAGAGTATATGTAAAAAAATCCAAAAACTATAATCAATGGGGACATGAGGATCAAAAGGTTGCCTAGTCTGATGAATAATGTTTTCATGTAGATCAGGTGTATTGCCAGATGCATGTGCATTGTTTACCTGGGGAATAGATGGCAGCAGGATTCACAATGGGAGGGAGGCAGGCTGGTGGAGGCAATGCTATGCTATGTACAATGTTCTGTTGGGACACCTTTGGTCCTGGCATTCATGTGGATGTTACTTTGACACGTACCACCTACCTAGAGATTGTTTCAGAGCACATACATCCCTTCATGGTGTTCCCTGATTGCAGTGGCCTCACTGCAGTGCAAAAATTGTTCAGGAATGGTTTGAGGAACATGACAAAGAATTCCGTGTGTTGTCTTGGTCTCCAGATCTTCTCCAATTCTCCAGATCTTAATCTGATTGAGTAATTGTGGGACATACTGGGACAACAAATCTGATCCATGGTGGCGTAAACTCGAAACGTGTAGGACTTAAAGGATCTGCTGCTAATGTCTTTGTGCCAGATACCTAAGAACACATTCAGAGGTTTTGTGGAGTTCATGCCTCGAAACATCCAAGGGGCCCTACGCATTATTGGGCAGGTGGTTATAATATTGTGGCTAAGCAGCGTACATGGCACTGCACGAATTAAAAACTCCAAAACACATAATTTTGTTTTATTTTATTTTGTTTATTAATATATTTTTTTATTCATTTCTGTAGTGGGTACATTGTAAACAAGTAAATAAAGGAAGTGCATATATGTCTTTTTAGGCTATTCCTTAACACGATTTTCTTTGCATCTAATTACACTAGAATTAACCAGTATACCTTATTCTAATCCCATTTTAATGCTGAAACTAGCGCATAGTTACCTGGCCCAATTCTACAGTGTGTACAAAAATGAATTTCTGAAGATGTTGCCTCATTGTTGGAATACTGATGCGTGCAAAAACTGTTATAGAAAGGGCTTGTGTTTTTATTATATTCTTTCTAAAAATTATATAATGATATCTATAGCTTGGACATCCAAGACACTTCCAGCCAATTATGTCCTAATATAGTGTATGGTCATCATGGCCGTCCTGAACGTCATCATGGCAGATTCAGTCCAACCTGAAGTTGGTGCTGGTGTCCAGGCAACTGAAGGTCACTAAAACCCATTCTTCTATCAATCACATTTCCTCCATTGCATTTTGTTGTTGCAGGCATGAGTCCCCTTCTTAATTCTGGCTCAGTAGTATTATTTAGCTTGTCCTAACTGGAATGTTCTTTTGATGGCTAGAGAGGCGTTTTGGGGTTTTATGGTACCTGGGGTAAAATTTTGTATAGGCACCTAACTTCTCCAAGCAGAGAGTAGCCAGGGAGGCTGGGGTAAGACTAAACACCATATAGTAACCTTAAAAAACACCAACTATATTGCTGTCTACTAAATAATTAAATATTCACTACATACAATACTTTCTTTGGAATATTAATATCATATTTGTTTAATGTAGGAGATACATATTGTTTGAAAGGTCTGAAAAATAAAATTAAATGTAGAAACTGTTATATTTAGCTGTATTCTGCAACAGAGTATCTCCATCAGAATCTTGTCAATCATTGCTATAAGCTTCGTCCTTTTCTGTTATTGTTATTTTATTATTTATATAGCGCCATCAGATTCCATAGCGCTGTACAATATTCAACATAGTATATCGAAGTGGAAAAATGGAAAAAGCCCATCGATGATCCATCTGCATTAATAAACCATTTTCTTTCAATGATGGACAAATATAGCGATGGTTGACTTAATTCAATATTGCAAATCCTTGGTTTTAAACAAGAAATTCCTGTCCACACTCCCACTTACAATTATTATGCAGAGAACTTGTTTATACACATAGTATGTCATCAAATACATGATTATAAGAAGCTTCACAGCCAATTTAAGATGTACTTTGTATATCAGCTACACCCAAAACAATGCAGAGTATTTGACTACAAGAATATAAAACCATCTGAGCTGTTGTATTATGCAATATCTGTATCATAACGATAACAGTGTAAAAAATGCTAAAGAAAAAAAAAATGGCAGATAGAAGATTAAAACGGGAAAAATATCCTGACCACATGTATTCCCAAATATCAATAATAACCAAGTGGTTTAACCCCTTAAGGACCAAACTTCTGAAATAAAAGGGAATCATGACATGTCACACATGTCATGTGTCCTTAAGGGGTTAAAAGATAAAATATTACATTTGGCAGCTTCACATCTTAGCGCTGTACTCTCACACCAACACTATGCAACAAACTAGTGAAATATACATTTATCAGTAGAGAGACAATATTATATACCTTTGTTTATCGAGCATGTTACTGTCCAGATACCAGTCCCACATATGAAATATAAATAAAATTGTATAATAGTGAAGTATTGTATAAAATCATCCCTATAAAAAATATGAAAATAACAAAATTATTATCCTTCCCAGCCAGTAACTCCTATCAGTTAAAGTATGCTTGCAATCCTAAAGAATAGCAGTATATATAAAATAATAAAATAAAAATGTACAATTAGAAACACAGAAACGTAGAATGTGATGGCAGATAAGAACCATTCGGCCCATCTAGTCTGCCCAATTTTCTAAATAGTTTCATTAGTCCCTGGCCTTATCTTATAGTTAGGATAGCCTTATGCCTATCCCACGCATGCTTAAACTCCTTTACTGTGTTAAAGGAACACTATAGTCACCTAAATTACTTTAGCTAAATAAAGCAGTTTTAGTGTATAGATCATTCCCCTGCAATTTCACTGCTCAATTCACTGTCATTTAGGAGTTAAATCACTTTGTTTCTGTTTATGCAGCCCTAGCCACACCTCCCCTGGCTATGATTGACAGAGCCTGCATGAAAAAAAAACTGGTTTCACTTTCAAACAGATGTAATTTACCTTAAATAATTGTATCTCAATCTCTAAATTGAACTTTAATCACATACAGGAGGCTCTTGCAGGGTCTAGCAAGCTATTAACATAGCAGGGGATAAGAAAATCTTAATTAAACAGAACTTGCAATAAAGAAAGCCTAAATAGGGCTCTCTTTACAGGAAGTGTTTATGGAAGGCTGTGCAAGTCACATGCAGGGAGGTGTGACTAGGTTTCATAAACAAAGGGATTTAACTCCTAAATGGCAGAGGATTGAGCAGTGAGGCTGCAGGGGCATGTTCTATACACCAAAACTGCTTCATTAAGCTAAAGTTGTTCAGGTGACTATGGTGTCCCTTTAACCTCTACCACTACAGCTGGAAGGCTATTCTATGCATCCACTACCTAAGTAATACTTCCTGATACTTCCTGATATTATTTTTAAACCTTTGCCCCTCTAATTTAAGACTATGTCCTCTTGTTGTGGAAGTTTTTTCTTCTTTTAAATATAGTTTCCTCCTTTACTGTGTTGATTCCCTTTATTTATTTAAATGTTTCTATCATATCCTCCCTGTCTCGTCTTTCCTCCAAGCTATACACGTTAAGATCCTTTAACCTTTCCTGGTAAGTTTTATCCCGCAATCCATGAACCTGTTTAGTAGCCCTTCTCTGAACTTTCTCTAAGGTATCAATATCCTTCTGGAGATATGGTCTCCGGTACTGCGTACAATACTCCACCAGTCACCAGTGTACTGTACAATGGCATGAGCACTTCCCTCTTTCTACTGCTAATGCCTCTCCAAGATGCATTATCTTGCACTTTTCCAGTGCAATTATAGCAGTGGGTGTAAGAAGCCTTCTCTAAAATCTTCAATAAAATTAGAAATACAATAAACCTCAATATTTTGGTAATATCAGCCCCTTACTGAATAACTGATGGTGAAACATGCAGCTGAAACTCACAAGCACTCGTGTTCCCCGATGGAACCTGTAGCTTCCATCATCTGGAACCTGGACTTTCACCTTCACCCGGGTAAATAGAATAACATGCCCCCACTGTGCACCACTACAGTCTCTGGGATTGTCTTCTGGTTGAAACAAGAGCTTTGTTTAGAAGGGTTCTTTGCCTGCTAGAATCTCGCAGGCCAAAACATGCTCACCACGCCTATGCGTTTCTGGACGTCAGTGTGCTGATACTGCCATCTTTGTTACTGGTACTTTAGGACAGCTGATGATGCTCCGGAAATGTTCCAAATGGCTTAATGTCAAGTTCCTAATTTACATAGTTCGGACAGCCGGATTCACAAAAGTCTTTTATAGGGATTCATTTGTCCATAGACATATATATTAGTCCACCTATCTGAACTATTTTTGTAAATCTAGCAGCATCTTTTTTATATTCTAAAGTAAATACACAATTCCAAAATATTATAAAATAATAAAAAATAAAAGAAGTCCATATAACGCTATAAATAAGCTAATACAGAGGACACAAATTAACATCTGTTACATTTTATAAGCAGATAGGAAATGCTGGTTACAAAATATTAAAACCGTAAAAAATAATATTATTTTTTTGTATGCTGTTGTATGCACATGTGACACTTTGTTGGTGGTATAACCTTGGGATATGAACTTGAGGCATGTCCTGGTGTGATATTCTATTTTATTGATATTTTTACAGTTTATTTAAAGTATAGAGTATGTTTGCCTATGAATTTACATTTGCATTCTCTTTCTTCTAACAAATTCTGAACAACGCTACATTGTTACCCATTTATATATGTTACAAAAAAAATGATATGATACAATTTTTGCCCAAGAGGTAATGTTGTTTGCAGTACAGCCGAGTACTATTATTTGATGCGTTGTTGTTATTTATTGTTACTGATTCACCGACGTCTATTGTCAAATCATGCCAACATAAAGACATTGAGCATATGTCTCTTTTATGCTGTAATGTTGTACTGCGCATACTCTGAGTAAATCATTAATGATCCATCCTGAATGAAATGGATTTTTTTTCCCAAGAATTTAAATTAAAGGTGCAATATGAAGGTTAGTTTGCAGTGAGATACACTAGATTTTTTTTTTTATTAATGTTCTTTGGTTAAAAAAAATAAATAAATAGCTTTGCGCTATATTAATATTATTGTTATTATTATTTATATACCCACCCGTTCTGCTCCCTCTGAGAACCTACAAATTCATACTTCTGGCACCGATATTACAAGCTTTCTACAATAGTAATGTGTAGGGATTTCTAATGTGCGATAAATATCGTCGTAGAAAGTTAAGGGAGTTTAATGATTGCCTGTTTAGCCATAGCTCAATGCCCTACTGAAAAGCCTGTGTATTTACAGCAGAGATAAACAATACGTGTAAATCTTTTTTATTTGATTTTATTTTGCTTTGAAAAAGAATGAGCCACTTGCAGCATGGAGTGTCCCTTTAAACTGTGTGTACAGTTTTCCTAAATTCCCTCCCGCCCCCACAGCAAGCTAAAAGCAGAGCATTACTGCATGACTGATGCATCTGTATTACACAGCAGTCAGACAGTGTGACTGATCAGAAAAACTCTCTCCTTCCTTTAACTATGAAATCTCTCATTCACGTTTTCATATGCATCTCTATGTCCGCTATCACTGCGACAGGTGAGTCTTTCTCTAACAGGTATGTACTGCTAGATTTGATACAAAGTGAACCCTAAATCTTTAATCTAGTGTTTGCTTTGTGGACTACATACAATGTTCCAGAGCTGGAAATATAGATTGTTTGGGCCAATAAGCACTTTGTTTCTGATTTGTATGTATATATTTTTTAGTTAAAAGTGTATGCAAAGAAATGCATGTTTTAAGAAGCAATCTATAACATCACACATATTTGCACAGTCATATAAGCTGTCTCTCTCTGTTATACTGACTGTGACATAACGTTACTAATATTGATGAGTTAGGGCAGTGGTTCCCAAACTTTGTAGATCCAAGGCGCCCTTAATATTTGAATACTTTTTCAAGGCACCCCGAGTCACAATTTCTAGGTTGTATATCTGTACAGTGCTGTGGCATTTACTGGCGCTATAGTGTAATGTATAGTGTTAATGTTTGAAGGGGTGCTTGTATATTACATACATAGTTACATAGTTACATAGCTGAAAAGAGACTTGTGTCCATCAAGTACAGCCTTCCTCACATTTGATTGTTGCTGTTGATCCAAAAGAAAGCAAAAAAAAAACCCAGTTTGAAGCGCTTCCAATTTTGCAACAAACTAGGGAAAACATTCCTTCTTGACCACAGAATGGGAGTAAGATTAATTAGTGGATATAACTACCCTGTATTGAAAAATTCTATTCCACATCCTTATTGTTCTTACAGTAAAAAAAAACAAAACTTTTTTTTTGCCTTAGACAAAATCTTCTTTCTTCCAGTCTAAACACATGATCTCGAGTCCGGTTTGTGAATAGATTTCCACACAATTGATTTTTATTTGCCCCGGATATATTTGTAAAATGTTATCATATCCCTTCTGAGGCAATGGTTTTCTAAACTAAAGAGGTTTAAATTTGTTAACCTTTCTTCATAGCTGATATGTTCCATTCCTTTTATTAAATTTGTAGCCCACCTCTGCACGTTTTCTAGTTCCATAATTAGAAAAGGTTGCCAAAATAGTTTTAGTGTTTTAATACAAGGGTGTGTTTGTATGTAATGTTCACTTTTAAATGCAGATGTACATTTGTGTTTGAATGAAGGAGTGTGTTTGTATGCAATATTTGTGTTAGATTGCAAGAGTGTGTTTGTATGTTGTGGTAGTATTTGACTGCTTGGATGTATGCACATACATACATTCATACTTATACAGATATACATGCACATTAACACACAGATACATAGAAATACACTGACACATACACACAAATTCATATAGACATGACACATACAGACACACACACCCTGACACACACAAACATTGATACATGCACACACCATGATCCAGATACACACACTGACATAAAAACACACACCCTGACACACAGATGCAAATACACAGATGCACATCCTGAAACACAGATGTGCACCCCCACCCCCACACACACAGATGTGTACACACACACAGAGAGATGTGTACACATACACACAGATGTGTGTACACACACAGACACACACTAGCACAGAAGAACACTGGCATATACACACATACACACACAGATGAACACACTGACACACACACAGATGCAGAGCTTGACACACACACAATAACACACACAGAGGCAAACTGACATATATATACACACACACAGATGCACACCCTGACACACACTCTCTCACACACACACACACACACACACATACTCATAGACACATACACCCTGACATACACTCATACACCCTGACACACCCTGACACACACACACACACACACACTCTGACACACACAAAAACAGACACACACCCAGACACACACTCATACATACACACAGAATATTTTTATATCCCCAGCCACCCTCCTGTCAGCTTACCTTGTATGTCCAGGAGGGTGGTTTGGAGTCCTGGTAGGAGCGAGGGGTCTGGAGCAGCTCCTGCAATGCTCCTCTCCCCTCATGCTGCAGCTGCCCCAACTCCCTTCTGCCCTCCTGCACGGTCTCTCTGCACGAAGCTGGGAGGAAGTGACAGGTTGTTATGTTTCCCTGGTGCGATAATCATTCCACAGCACCCCTGTTTGGGAACCGCTGGGATAGAGAGTTATTTGCTGGTCTTATTTATAATAAAAAGTGAATTAAAGGGTTAATCCAAACATCATATCCACTACATCCCACTGTAGTGCCTATGATGCCATGATTAACCCTGGCCTGGTTCCTGGTAATTGGGCAAACCTTTAAGCAATAGTTTTCTCTCTTACCTGGGTCCATGCCATACTCTGAGGTCTCCAGCTCTCCAGCAGGTTTGGGGACCAGCTTCCGGCTTCTGCAGACCTGCTGATGCCTTCACCATTGATTGGCCCAGAACATCAATTGACCACTCTCGGCCAAGAAATGACATCCTGTGAAATTAAATTTGCACAGAATTGACAACAGCCAGCCCGGAACTCTAATTCCCAGCTGGATGATGATACCCAAGTGACATTGCCGGAGCACCACTGAAGTGCTCATGGTGCTTGGAGTAAACCTTTAAAAGTAAATTTCAAATTATAGTCCAATATAGGTGCCCCCAAAAAAGTTCATGAATTTTACATTTTTTCCTCATTATTGCTATTAGGGTCTCAACTTTAAAATTCAAGTGAAATTTTATTAGGGTGTATTTACTAAACAATGATTGTGGGAAATGGAAAAATATGTATATATAACTTTGCTGAGTTGGATAATCAGCTGTTTTGATCTACATTTTGTACAATAACTGTATTATTAGTGACTGTAACTAATACCCCCTTATTGACACACATTTTATGAGCAGATCCAGTTATCTAACCTTATACACAATTCAGCTCCCACTCTTTTCTCATATTCACTAATTCAAACCACGTCTTTCACACGCTTCGCTGATTAGTGAAACAGATTATTTTATTTTGTGTAAACATCACATAAGTCGTCCTCACAGACGCAAACATTAAAAATGAGTGTTTCTGGTAAAGTTTGTCACATGGGGCTTTAAAAAAAAATAAAATAAATAAAATATATTTATAAATGTCCCTTGTGATATTAAGTCATTGTCATTAATGATGTGATTTAGCCTTGAGGAGAGTTGATTTGAATGTACCCACAGAACACCTGATTCCCATAGACAGCCCTGTGTGCTGAATCTGATATATCCTCTGGCAATGCTACATGTATTCCTTCAGTTTAAGGAGACAGTCAAATCACCCAATAGAGAGTGTGTCAGTCTTTCAAATTTCTCAAGCTCCGATTCCAACCTAACATACACACACACACACATACACACACACACACACACATACATACTCATAAACACCATGCAGCAATGGGAGTATCTAAAGAGTGGGTATCTAGATAATAAGAAATATTGAACCAATAGTCACACTACGCTAAAATGTTTCCTATCGCAATACAATCGTTAGCATCAAACAATTTGCACTTTAGACAGATATCGATAGCTTTAATAACTTATAGCAGATATATAGCTCAAGGGCTGTCTAGCTGAGTACTTTGTATAAAAGTTCATCAACGATCTCAGCTCATGACAAGACAAGACCCTCTGTACTTATTTACATCTCACCAATTGCCATGTACCATGCTATAGAATTTATATAAATTATAAATGCCAGTAATAATAACAATATATATATACACCAAAAAGATTTTTATAGCAAATAAAAAATATATTTTTCTTTGTGAGTGGTCCAAATAGCAGCTAATGAAAAAAACAGACTCAGTTCTGGTACAAATACCACTTAAAGGTCCGTTTGTGTCTCCTAACTCCTTATCTTCAGACAAAGTTTCTAGGCGAAGGCAACATTTGGATGAGTCTCACTATTGAGCTGAACAAAGCTTAGAGTTAAAACAGTATATTCTACCCTTTCCATTAGTTAATACAATTTATAACATCTCAGATCTGGAGTGAAATTATAAATGGTACCCTCCTGCCACTTTCAGCAGCAAGCTTTGTAGGTCAAACTCTATCTCGGCATTCTAGCAACCAGTGATGTGATAGACGGCATGGGGCACTCAGCATTTTGCAGGTTGCAACAACACCTGTAAAAATGCACATTAGTCTAATGTACGCTGTATCTACTGTAAGATAATTAATTCCTCGATCTGTCGATTGCTTATATCTCAAACTGTTTTTAAATGATTTGACACAAGTAAGGATCCACCTTACTGTCCATATGGCTAATTTCACGTTTGCATTAGCAATATCAATTCCACCCATATTTAGACAGGATTCATTGACTAAGCATGTGGGTTGATGCTATTAAATGCTGTCTAACTTTGGACAAAATTAAGATTGCTCATGTGGACCTACTCCATAATGGATATGAAGAATATGG